CCATTCTCCTCTCGGGATCTTGGGCACGCACGCACACGCGCCCGGCATGAGTTCTAAGCCACCGGGTCCGGGATGCGAACCGTGGTCGACTACGTGGGAATCCAGCGACACAGCCATTATGCTAACTGCTGGTTCCCATCCCTCTTTTTCTTGTAAAAAATATTGAAACAGAAATATAGGGATAATTATGACTTTTAAGTCATCCCATGGTTTACCTTACTCACCGAGTCTAATGTTATTACTACAGGTGAAAAACGAGTACTTGAAAAGTTTTTTTAAAAAAGCCTTTATTTAAAAATTGTGTGAACTTGGTTTTTGTTGTTACTATCAAGAATTTAAAGGTACCTTCCCATTAAACATGACTCAATCATAGTAACAGAGTTGCAAGTTTTTTTTTTTTTTTTGGAGAGGTTTTTGCTATAGGGCACATGCGCTCCCCAGACAGACAGGGGGATAGAAAGCGAGAAAATCACCCCCCCCCCCCAGGGGGGATGGCCACACTGCAATCCCTTCTCCTCTGTTCTCCTCTCGGGATCTTTGGCACTCACGCACATGCACCCGGTGTGAGTTTTAAGCCACCGGGTCTAGGACGCGAACTGCGGTCGACTACATGGGAGTCCAGCAATATAGCCATTACGCTAACTGCTGGTCCCAAGAGTTGTGAGTTTTGAGTGAACATCAGTAAGCAGATGATAATTTAAGAGTGAGTGAAAGAGGACCCTGTATGCCTCCCCTTTTAAATGTACACATCTGTGTCTGCCTCTTTACAAAGATAGGAAGGTAAGATCTGCTCAGAAGTATAAAACATTTTTAATCTCACAATATTAAATACTGTCAGTGAAACAAAGGGAGAAAAAGTAAAGTGATCTCACCAAGATTAGGGATTGAGAAAGATCTTTCTAACGGAGGGTATTTAAATGAATACATGAAGGTTAAAAATTAATGAGAACAGTAAAGGGGATGAATATTCTTATACCATGGGGAAAAATATGTGTGAAAACAGAAAGGTGAGAGAAAACATGTCACATTAAAATGTGAGGATATTTTGGTACATCAGGGACTTTGTATGCAAATGGCTGGAGATGAGAACAGAGAGTTGTTCTAGGATAGTTCATGGAGATCTTATGAACTGGGTTGGGGAGTGTGAATGTCAACCTTTCATTGTACATGCAGTGGGAAATTGCTATGAACTGAAATGTGCTTGAAAGATCACACTGGCAACAGAATAGATAGTGCTTTTCTAGGAAGTTCTTGGGTGAAGTTGGTGAGTGGGTAAGCAGTTCTGAAATCTGGGCAAGAAATTATTTTGGCTTGGACTGGAGAAAATTCGAAGGAGAAAGAGTAAAACCACCTGATTCATAACATATGTAGGAAATAAAGAGGTCTTGGGGACTGATTGGATGTGACTGGGAGGAGGGGGAGGAAGAGGATGAGGAGAGGAGAAAGGCAGGGATGATGGCTTCTAAGTTCCTGGCTTGGACAAGAGAATAATTTCTACAACAGGAAAGATAAAACAAACAGGGGGTGAGGCATAGATTGGGGATCAGAGACAAAGAGTTTAGTTGATAATGAGAACAATAAGCTTTAAAGTAATGAATTAGGTATCGAGCTTGGGGTGTCTGAGGGATATCTATGTCCAACAGACATTTCATGTGTGGAGTTGAGAAGAATGGCCTGGCCTCTAGATGATGGAAGATAGGGGAACAAATGAGATTGCTGATGGCTACTGGGTAGAGGGGGAAGACAGAGGACCTACTTCAAAGAACTTCACTGGCACTGTGAGGAGTAAAGAACAGGGAACCTCTCTGCTAACTCTATCCCGTTGACATTGACTTGTGTTCAGTCTCTTCTAGCTCTAAAATGCAGATTTTAAAAGCTCTTGGTGGAACTATGAATTTTTCAACTATTGCTCATTTTACTCCTGTTCACATGTAAACATTTTAAAAGACTTGTCTCTATCTTCATTCTCTGTTTCTTTCCAACCCACTCACTCCTCTGCTGCATTCAGAATTACATCCCACCAAACCACTACAACAGTTCTTAAACTAGATAGTGAACTTTTATTTTCAGTCCCACACTGCTTAATTTCTCAACACACACTGTTCCTCTGGCTGTTGTGGCATTATCTTATTTGGATTCCTTCCCATTTCATTGACTCTTCCAGTTGTTTAGACTTCAGGTTGAGTATCCTTTATCTGAAATGCTTGTGACCTTAAGTATTTCAGATGTCAACTTTTTTTTTTTTTTAGATTCTGGAATATTTGCATAGAGATATTGAGATATCTTGGGGGATGGGACCCAAGTTTAAACATGAAATTAATTTATATAAGACATACATGCTTTACGTATACCTAGAAGTTTGTTAATTTTATACAGTATTTTTGTATCATGGCATTTTTACTGCAACCTGACATGAAGTCACGTTTCAGATTTTGAAGCATTTTGGATTTAAGATTAGCTCAATGTGTAATAATACTGAACATAAAATATTGCTAGTATCTTATTTTTATATTAAACCAAAGCTTAGGAAAAATGTTGTTCTTTTTTTTTTTTTTTACCAGAGCCCCACACTTAAACTACCATGCAACATTGTCTCATTTCTGGAAGGAAAGGATAGCAATGATTAGAGGCCCAGGGAAGAAGGGTTGGCTTGAGAGGGAGTAGGAAGGCAGAGCATAGGTCCAGTATAGTGCAGTAGAGGAGCTCAGGCTCAGGAGTCAGTTTCCTCTTCTTGAGACTCCATCCTCAGAGCCAGTGCCCATGTTGGCGAGAGGCTGCACCTTCCCCACAAGACCACAAGGAGGCAGCATCAAGAAGCAAGACGCAGTCCGTGACTGTTCTGGGGACTGCGTGCAGGACAGAGCACAAGTATCTTGCCTGTGATTTCTGGTGTGTGCCCAAACCTCCATTCCAGTAGCTCCTCTCCTCCAGACCGGTCATTCTTCTTCACCCCATCCCTCCCCCTCCCTCTAGTTCCCTGAGCTGGACTCAGAAGAGTAGTCACGGAGTGCAGCCCCTTGGGGTAGGAGTCAGGCTTGGCTTGCTTTGGGAGCCTGAGTGCAGCAACTGATCAAGGAAGCCCTAAGTTGTTCGTGCTTTGTCGCTCTTTAAACTCCCTAAGGCCCCCTGAGAAGCTATATATACCCGCAGCTGCTTTGCCCAGAGGCACTGATGGTGAATGCTCCAGGCTCAGCCCAGGGAGGAGAGGCAAAGAGGGGTTTGTCTAAGGAAGCCCGGTCTTTCATGATGTCCTTCCCTGGAAGAGGTCTGCCAGTTCATGCTCTTCCCAGGTTACAGTAGCCTGATCAAGACTTTGTTCACCTACCCAAAGAGGAATTTCTTCAAACTCTGTGAGGCCCATTCCAAGCTGTGTCTGCTCATTATCCCAGGACAAGACTCCCCAGTTCCAGCCTTCTGTTCTTCTATTAAGAAGCAAGGCAAGGGGAATTCATTTACCCAGGAAGAAAAATGTGTGTGTGTGTGTGTGTGTGTGTGCGCGCGCGCACGCACTGATGCTAGAAAATTAAGTTGGAGGCATGCTGTGAGGGGCCTTGTTTACAGACTAGAGTTCGGGACTTTATCTTGAAGGCTATGAGAACCTGTAACTTGCTAAACAGGAACCTGACACATCTGCTTGTGCTGCAGTATGGGAGGTGGACTGGAATAGACTGGGTTAGGAGGCAGGAGGCCTTTTCACAATCAGGGAAGAGCAGATGATATAATGAGGTTGGGATGAAGGGAGTGTGTGTCAAATAAGAGGAAAGACCTTGACAGATGAAATGGAAAAGGAAAATCACACTTGGAGGTATAAGGGCAGAGAAATGAAGATGAGGCTGGCTGCCCTGACCTGGGGGCCTTGGGTGCTAGGAGGTTCCATTCATTGAGGTCAAGAACAGAGGGGAGAAACAGGTTTGGAAAGGGAATGATTTAAGGCAAGATGAATACCAGGCTCACAGGCTATCCAGGCAGAACTCTTAAGCAGGCCATAGGTCATATGGCTAGATCTCAGGACACAGGCTTAGAAATCCCATCACAGACTGAGCCCCTGTTTCCTGTCTTAAATTGAATCATGGTGAGACTTGAAAGCAACACAGACTGCATCTCTATCTGGGCCCAAAACTTACCCTAACCACAATATGCACCAGAGTTGCTAGGTCAATTTGGAAGGGTCTGTACAATCCTCTCTACCCTGCTGGGGAGTGATCAGAAACAGTGCTCTGGTTGACAATATCAGCTCTGAAATGAAAGGGTATTTTATGTGTTTACGAGTGGGTCTTCACTTGCTGAGATTAGTGGTATAGTATTAGAATCTCTTGTGAAACACTGGGGCTCTGGAGGGTCAGGCAAGGCACGGGTAACGGGGAGGCACATATAAAGAGAACCAGAGCAGAGAGAGGCTGGATTTGGAATTACTTGCTTAGTCCCTCTGTTTGCTCCAATGCTGTTTTCTTACAATTTCTTTCTCTTCTCCTAGCTATGTAGCTATGACTGAATCAAGTTTCTTTCCCTTTCCTAGATCTGGATTTGGAATGTGGAAGCCCCAGCTCTTTGTCCCTGTCATGGCTACTCCAAATGGAACTCTGGTCCACCCGGCATACTTCCTGCTAGTGGGTATCCCTGGCCTGGGGCCAAATGTACATTTTTGGCTGGCTTTCCCACTCTGCTTTATGTATGCCTTGGCCACGCTAGGCAACCTGGCCGTTGTTCTCATCATTCGTGTGGAACGGCGTCTGCATGAGCCCATGTATCTCTTTCTGGCCATGCTTTCCACCATTGACCTAGTCCTCTCTTCTGTTACCATGCCCAGGATGGCCAGCCTTTTCTTGCTGGGCATTCAGGAGATTGAGTTCAATGTCTGCCTGGCCCAAATGTTTCTTATCCATGCTCTGTCAGCCATGGAGTCAGCTGTCTTGCTGGCTATGGCTTTTGACCGCTTTGTGGCCATCTGCCACCCATTGCGCCATGCTTCTGTGCTCACAGGGCCTACTGTGGCCAAGATTGGACTAGCTGCCCTGGCCAGGGGATTTGTATTCTTCTTCCCATTACCCTTCATCCTGAAGCGGCTGTCATACTGCCGAACACACACTGTCACCCACTCGTTCTGTTTGCACCAAGATATCATGAAACTGTCCTGTACTGACACCACAGTCAATGTAGTTTATGGACTCTTTATCATTCTCTCAGTCATGGGTGTGGACTCCCTTTTCATCGGCTTCTCCTACATCCTCATCCTACGGGCTGTATTGGAGCTGTCCTCTCGTGGGGCAGCACTTAAAGCTTTCAACACCTGCATCTCCCATCTCTGTGCTGTCCTGGTCTTCTATGTGCCCCTCATTGGACTCTCAGTGGTGCACAGGCTGGGTGGTCCCACCTCCTTGCTCCATGTGGTTATGGCTAATGTCTATCTACTGCTCCCTCCTGTGGTTAACCCCATTGTCTATGGAGCCAAGACCAAGGAGATTCGTCAAAGGGTTCTTCATATGTTCTCACAAGATGACAGGTGAGAAGTATACCAACTTCAGTGTCTTAAATATCACTAAAATTGAGATGATTAGGATTCTGTTGAACATCTTAGTGGCCTGAGAATTCAACCACTGGGCTGTTATTTAAGTACCTTCTATATTTCTGTTTCCAGGACTATATCAGTACTGAACTTATAATACAGTCTGGATAGGCCATTCAGAACAGAATTCCTCTGGTCTCTCTGCTATAGTGGCATTGCCTTCTCCCTTTCCCCCAACTAGAAAATACACATAGTTTTGACATGGTAAGGCTAGACATGCCACACCTCATCTTTTATTGCAATACTGATGCATTATTTTAATTATTCTTGTCCCCATGTGTCCATGTTAGTCAATCTATGTTGGCTATAAAATTTATTACTCATACCTCACAGTGGTTATGCAATCATAATTAGGGGTTAATTAAAGTATTTGGGGGATAGAATGGGAGGGATATGGTAACAGGAGAGGAGGCAGATCACATCAATTTTTGTTTCTGTATGCACATAGGTGTATTTATGTGGAATCTTTCATTGTGCATCTGTGAGGCTCTATAGAGATTGTTTCTAAGGAAGCTATATGTTCTATTTGTGGGCATGAGTGGATAGGTATGTTTATGTGGACATATGTGACTTTTGGTGTGGTATTTGTGTGTGTGTGAGAGAGAAGGGGAGCAAAAGGGAGAAAGAAAGAGAGGGAGGACATGGAATATACCAGCTTTGTCTTGAATGCGAATCTGTATCCTGGTATGCATATATTTCATCAGTACTATCTCTGATTATACATTTGTTGTGTTCATGCGACATGATATGCATGAACCCTGGTAGTTGGTATGCGATACATATCCATGTAAGAGTGCTGGTGTCTGGATCTGTACTCTAGGTGGTTTCTTTATCTTTTTTTTAATTAAATTTGGTGAGAATGATCTATCTTTTCTTCATATTTGTAATATGTAGGATGTAGTACGTGAGTGTGTGAAATGTCTCGTATGGGGATGGCTGTACCTTTAGGTATGTGTGGTGTTTGTCTTTGGCCATATATCTATTGTGCATAGTATTTGTGATATGAAATAATTTCATGTTTCTGTGTTTTTCCTCATATGCAGATGGAATGTAGTATCTGAATTATGTATGTGTTTTTGGGTATTTGTGTGTGTTTGCATTGTTTGTATGATTGTATTTTTGGGTATATGTCTAGAACACACTTGTCTTAGGGAAAATTCATTTATGTATTTGGCATGAGTTCTATGATGCAGAATGAGTACAGCATTTGTGTTGCTGAGCATTGACTGATGTACGATGTGTCCGTGTATCTGGCGGTGGAGAGGAGATGGAAAAAATATGGTTGTGAGTAGCAGATATACTTTCCAAAGCCGAGAGATGGGCCTCTAAGAGATCCAGTTTCTCAGCCTTAGTTCAAACTGAAGTTATGGCTCAGTATTTGAGAGTTAAAGAGAACATGAGGCTTCCTCTTTCCACCTTTGTGAAGGCCAAACTACACCTTCTTCATTCTAACCACAGGGTTTTAGGTGTTTTTATTTCATTTTCCCATCTTCCTTACTCTCTCTGCCTGAGCCATTGGCCTCCCTAAAACCTTGTCCTTCTGCTTCAGTAGCAGGCCACAGTATCTTCGCCTCTCTCTGTCCTTTCTTGTTAGTCTGCCAAACATGTTTGAAATGCACTGATTGTAGGAAGTTTCTGTTAATTACTTTGGGGAATCAAGGATAAGGTAAGACAAGTACGTGACATTGCAAAGCCTGTGGCAATTCCTAGGGCCCATCTTATTGCATTATAATCATTTACTTGCCTGCTCTTGGAATATGTTAGGTCAAAAACATTCACAGTAAAAAAATATATATATATATATATATAGGTAGAAAATAAAGTAGATTCACTTGAGATAAAGAATGCTGATGTAGGATTTAATAAGGTTAAAATCTTGTAAATATCATAAAACAATATACCTTCAAATCTTTCTATATCTTATTTCCTCTTCTGTGTAATAAGAAACCAAAACAGCAGTGTAAAGCTGAGACACCATGACTGTCTTTTGTAAACTACATAGTGTGGTATACATACCATTATCATATTTATGTTTGGCTAACTATGAAAGTTTAGGAAACACCATGAACATCATGGTCTATGTGAGTGGTGCTTTGGAATTGTGTAGTGCACCATCAGTGTGGCCATGTGTGGCTGTCTTGTTTTATTGTCACTGATTAATCTTTATTTCTTAATAAATTGTTTTTATAAGGTTTCAGAGAAGTTGAAATTCATTGTGCTGAACATTGATTAGAAATGAAACTCAAATTAAGTATAACCTTGCTAAGAGGTCCCTTTGGATGTGGTTGGTATCTACACCAGAAAAAGAGACATTATGAGGTGGAATTAGAAAGAACATACATTAGGATAACTAGCTTTGATTTTAGGGCCAGTTACTAATACTTAACCTCAACAATTTTGGGAATTATAAGCACTGTAAAGCAGAACTATAATGTAGACCCTGTTAAATGGTTGTGGGGATTAAATAAATAGGTGTAAATAGACATGGAAAATAGAAAGGCAATCAATATATACCAAATGTTGGCACTCTATGGCAGAAATTGAAAGAGTGGATGGTATAAAGACATGAGGGGCAACTGTGGAAATTAGAGGCAGTGTGGGAGAGGGAGAAAATCAAGGGGAAAGAGAAAGAGGCAAAACATTTAAGGGACACAATGGAAAATGACCTGTTGATGATAATATGTATGGTAATATCTTTCACTGAACCAATATACAGTGTATTTATAATGGGTAAACTCTTTTGGTATACTGTAATGATACACAGAGATGGAATGTAAGATAAATACATAAATAAAAAAAGAAGGACAATCAATAAACATCACTGACAGTACTTTGATTTATTGTAAAACTGACTAAATGAGACTTGTTTATTCTATCCCAGGGGATGGTATCCAAAGAACAGCATCCTCATATGTCATAACTGATTCCATGCCAAGCTAAAAGCTATTCCCTTCTCTAGATTGAAATGTAACTGGTTTTAGACTAACCTGCAGCCTTTTTTCTTTGGAGATTTTGGAATATCTATAAATTCTTTATAATTTCTTTATTTAGGTAACTGGTGGTGACTAGGCTAATTGCTGCTCTGCTGGAAAAGCTGCCCAACTGTGAGACTGGATTAAGGGCTTCCTCTAGGCTGCCATAGTCTCTGCACCTCCTTTTATCATAAACCTCTGTAATCCAACTGGATATTTATCCTTCTGACATAGAACTTAAATAGTGGTATGATAACTGTCCTACCATAGAACTATATGGAAGTTGCCTCTCTTTAGGGACCAGGGCTCATCTATCATCATGATTTCAGAGCCTGACACAGAGGTGGCTCAAGAGCTGGGCTGCTCAGGGAATTTTTAGCAGAACGGGCTCTGGTTCACTTTAAATAAGGAAATTCACCACTATTTCCCCATTTGCCCTGATCTCTTCTTTCATTCATAAATTATAGCCCTCAGTTTGGCCTGAGTTATTTTAAGAAGTACATGAAGTACTTTCCCCAGCTATTAATGATCAGTTGTGGTCCAAAAACAACATTATGGTTTACATAATGTTTCTATTCTCATTTTACAGACCAGAAAACCAAGGCTCTGAGAAGTTAAGTGACCACTCTATGTCATATAGCCACAACCAATCGTATAGTAACACAATTCTACAGTAAGTTCCTTTCCCAGTGTAGGAACTCCTGAACCTTGGATTGGAAGATTCTGTTAATCATGGTAAAAGATATAAAAAGTCTCTAGTAGTGGGTGGAGGCAGGTGGCATGGTGGTCGACCACAGTTCAAGTCCCGGACCTGGTGGTTTGCTTTCTTACTCCCTCTCAGTTCCCTCACTCTGTCCCTCTCTGGTCAAATTAAAACAAATAAATAAAGTCAAATAAAATAATTCTTTAAAAAAAAGTCTCTAGTGGGTCAAGTCTGCTCAGAACTATCTCATGTGGTACGCCCCATTCAGCGATGCACTCCTGCCTCCTTGGCCCAGTGCCATTTGATTCTTTATTTATGCCTTGTAGCATGGTAATTAACAGGTTGGGGATACTCCACAGTCTCTCATGACCATCTTTGTAGGGTAGGTAATCCTACAAGTAATAGCAACAAATTCTCTGCTTTTATCCTCCGTGGAAAAAGGAGATCCTTATTCTCTCACTGTGACCTTTCTCCTTTTAACCCCAGTAGTTAGCATAGAGAATGGTGCACTCAGTCATGGAAAACAACACTGACAGGTTTCAGAAACCAAATGAGAGTTCTCCTGGTTCTACTCTGTCTGTGTCTTCTACAGACACTCGGGTCTACTACTGTTATCCCAGCACATCTTAGATGTTTGCATGAGTAAATAGGATGATTTCTGGAATGGACTGATACCATGCCTTAACCAGTGGATGTTGGAGGAATCACAGAGGTTATTTCTCTGATGATAATAAACATCTCTCTTTGCTTGGAATACAAATATTGTGCTTGTATATTCATTGGTGATTTAAAAAAACCTTCCCTGGGAAAAAACATGTAATCAGGAGGCTGGGACCCAGCAGAGCTGAAGGTGAGTACAGACAGGCTGCTTTCCTGACAGGCCAGCATCTGTGTGAGTTCAGGTCCTCTGAGAAGCAGATGACAAGGTGAAATTTGATGTGCAAGAGGTTTTTGGTAAAGATCCATGATGTGTAGTGGGGAGAGAGAAGAGAAGTAGGTGGATAGGACCTTTAGAATATGACACGAGCTGACACATGTGCAAGGACAGAAAAAGGAAAGATTGGGTTAGAGGAGTTACAGACCACAATGTGGTTCTGAGAAAATTTCAGTCAGCATGAAAGATGGTCCCCAAGCAAGGGTTATACATGTGAAGAATTCCTGATTGGCAAGACTGGGTTGGCATGAAGTCACAGGCTGGGGGTAGCCTGAGAGGAGTGTGGCCTTCCTGCTAACCAGGTGGCAGAGTGAGAGAGACAGCAGTGGGAG